AATTTTCATCAGCAGCTAATTATTTCATATTTCTAATGTAAATGCTCGCGGGGAGCTGAAATGATTATTATTAACATGTACGCTTGATCACGCGTACCGATGCAAGCTGCGTCGCAAGCTCAATTTTGTGCGCTCACGTAAGCGAAATCCAATTTCGTCGGCTATTTTCCCAAGGCTGCGCTGCGAGTTTTTCCATTATTGGCTTTATATAGACAATCGATGTAAACCCACGATGTTGCCGATCGAAGCGGAAAAACGAAAATTCAAAAATTGGCAGCGAGAGTGCGTAAACACGATCGCGTACTTACACTTGACGCCAGCGAGCGTAGGCGCGATTTGTTTAAGAATTACGCCGGTGTACACTATATATGCCCTTTACGCTACTAGTGTATTGTAAGCTCCTACGAGACGAAACTTGTAGACATATTTGCATACTTCCTTCTTGCGAATTACTTCTCAATCGTTGCTTAACGCAACAAGATGCAATTACAATTTTATTAAAATATCAGATAGCGGTCAAGGTGTTAGTGATGCTTATAGGTACTTTTTAATCCAATTTTGAAGTTAATTTTTTCACACGGACACGGATGGAGGATCTGGATTGAATCATTCAGTCTGAATGAATGAAATTTTTATAATCTTGGTATGGAAATGATTGATTATGTGCTAATGACCAAAAAATGGCAATTTCAAATGTTTTAAAATACCATATATTAACTAGGTTTTTGCCATTATTTCACTACAATTATAGTCTACTACAATCATTTCATAAAAGTTAAGCGCATTTGAAATACTATAAAAGAAATTATAATCAGTTTTTTACCACTTTGAATACGATAATTTAAGCCTCTGTCGCTAGATGGCAAGAAACTTTACCGGTAAATCTGCAAATGGGAAAGTAAAAATAATTGCATATAAGTAAAAACACGATTTGAAAAACTTCGTTGTAGTTGCCAACTTCATATCGAAGTATGTCCAGTTCTAATGGGGCTTGAATGTGTGAGAAATTTTTTCGATTCCGAAAAAAACTAGTCATTAAATGTTAAGCATATATATACCGGAGAATTTCTGTTGCTTTTATAGTTATAGCTGTTGGTGGCTGCCTACGTGTTCGGGCGCGCAGTGCACGACCGCGTAGGGCTTAAGTTGTTGGCGCCAAGAGAGGGGATGCTGCGGCCCGGTACGCTGCAGAGTCAGTCTTGCCCCGACGGCGGCATGGCCCGCGCAATCACGCAATAAAGTCTAGCTCCTTAAGCTCAACTACGACTCCAATTTAGCTCCTCTCGAGCACCCTCCTCACGACCGGGACGCGTGCCCGAGGCGACGCCGCTTTGCCACGACGACGACCGCCGGCTCCTCCGTAGAGCCTGCTACATAGCTTACTGACCGTAGATGTCGCATCGCCTACCCCCAAGCGATCGAATTCGATTTCGATTACATAAGAAAAATATGTATACATACTTTTATAATTAGAAAAGATACATTTATTTATTATAATACGCAGAGATATCGTTTTAAAGAGTAAAAGCACTAAGCACGAGGAAAAAGTCAAAGTTTGTACAACACGAAATCTATAAAGCTCTCGATGTCGTAGCTTCGTTCCCATATACGTCGTATGCATCCGCGCGCGCGCGGGTACATATCGAAGAAACAAGAATGAGAAACCACCTGCCTATATATTACTGGGCTAAGATAATGGGTTTGGCCTCTTTTTCAAAGTAGAGAGAAAAAGAAATCCGTTATGCGAGCGCGTACGAGTTAAGTTCGTGTGTGTGTGTGTGTGTGTGTGTCTGCATATATTGCATATATTTATATATACTCAGATATAACATTTGCACACACGTCCGCGCGCGAGTAATGAGCAATGAGTCCGCGTATATATATTATAACTACAACGAGTCGCGACTCATCGACTCGATCCCTCGCTCTGTCGTTCTCAAGTATCAACTATCAAACGCAGCGCCTCTCGCTTTATAATACGGTACATAAGCGATAGAGCTCAAGCCGCGTAACGAATGCGGTCGTTATAATGCACACACGTACACACGAGTGTACGAGAATTGTAAGCGTGTATGTGTGCGATATACACGTATAACGCGAGCTACAGCTACTGTATATAGATTCGAGAAAGAGAGAGAGAGAGAGAGAGAGAGAGAGAGAGAAAGAGAAGTGGCAGTGACGGCGCGAACCTCGAGTAAGTAAGTTTGCGGCCGCAGCGAGTCAGGCAGGCAGGCAGGCAGTAGGTGCAAGCTTAGAGGATAGCCACCACCACCACCACAGCCGCCACTGTTAAAATAATACTATGCACACTGCACATATAGACGTATTAATATTATACGTCACCCGTGCCCTGTGCTGAGCAGCAGCAGCGAATCTAAATGTACTACAGCACATGATGATAATGTATAGCACGTAGGCGCGCTCGCTCGCGTACGCGTATTATAAACTGCGACGACGATTTCGTCATCTTTTGAGCTTTGTGTCGCACGACTCGCGCACTTGCATTATGCAAACCACAGAGTCTGCATTATTACAATGACGCGCGCAAGCGCACGAAAATTATACGACACAGAGATGACATTTTATGTGCGTAGAATAAAAAAACGCGTGTGTGTAGTTCCGATTCGGATATATGCAGTACGTTGCTGTGAATGCGTGGGTGGCACATAAAAAACTATACTCGAGTACGTATGCTACATCGCTCGATTCGGACCCGAGCTTTTGGCTGAGTGAGCGAGTGACGTGTTACCTTCAAAAGCCCCGACGCGCCGGTGTACGCGTAATGATACAAAAAACTATATTTCGCACTGCGTATGAAATAATAATAATGATAATTTTATAATACGCGAGACACGTGTAAGTCTGACGCGTTCGCGTTTTTGCATGCGCGTATATATGTGTTATGTGTGACGCGTAGGCTCGACCGAGGTGTATTATATTATAACACATGTGGCCAATATTTTTTACGAAGCATATAACATAATGTAAGCAGGTGCGCGTTAGTAGCTAGCTTTATTGTGGCTAAAAAAAAGTAGAGGAAGAAGAAGACGTAACACAGCCCTGTGGAGGTGTGTTTATGATATAGTAACAGCGCGGCGACGACGCGCGTACATTCGCGTCTTCCTTTCTGTCTATTGTCATCAACTTTATATATGCCTCGTCATAACTATGCACCGGGCCTATCACGTAATAAGTCGTGTATACCATCTCCGAGCGATGCCAATATATATACCGTACTATATATAATATATCGTTCTCTTTGGTTAGATCCCTTATATAGACCACCGACTGCTGCTGGTATATATCGTATACGTATTATAGAAGTATAAACCACCACCGGCTCAGCCGAGGGCTTGTGAACATGCCACACATGTAAATGCAGATAACTCGACGACGACGACTCGCAGTCGAGCGAGCTAAAGACACCGCAGCCGCGAGTCGTGTGTTGTTTATTAGCGTCGGAGTTTATTTGTTTGTGCACGTATGCACACCGATAGACATATGCTTGTTTACGAGACAGTTATAAAGAGGGACAGACGGGGGAGAAATAGAAGATAGTTTCGCTGATTGAAGACTTGCACCTAGACTATTACTACTACTATTGCTGCACACATCACGTCAATTGCAGCTCACTTTAAGATTGCTTCATTTCCAATGGGTGGCTATGATGAACGTATTAGGTAAATAATAACAGCTGTATACAGTGATCGACATAAGCGCGCGACGTATGTAATCAGTGACTTCATTTATCTCGTCAACGTCTAATTTCAATGTTTTTTTCTCTCCCCGTCACCTTCTCCCTTTAATTATGCATCTATACCTACTTCTTCGTTTCTTTTTTACTCTTCTATTTCTGTTTTAACTTTGCACTCCACGGAGCTGTATTATGCAATTTTGTATCTATGTACACTCCGAGTATTTTAATTGTACGCTTCGCTTTTAAAAATTAACGAACTCTTATGGACGAGCGCAACACGCGTTTTTATTAAACGATTTTGCAACACAAAAAAGAGCATCCCTCCCAATTTCGCGATTGCTCGAATTAATTTTCGTTCTTTTTTATTTTTTTATTTTAAGCACTAATTGCAACGTTGAGCTTCTCCACGCGTGTACCCTTCATTTCACCACTCTCGGCTCTTTTGCAGCTCTTCATTTCGGTTCAATTTTTTTGCTCTCTCTCTCTCTCTCTCATCGAATTGTTTGTACGAGGAATTTCATTCGCGGATGTACTCACACAGAGAGGCAGAGAGAGATGGAGAAAAAAGTTTATTCAAAATTCATTTTACGCCACGGTCAGATGCATTTGTACGTGTAACGTTGAAAGTTCATTATGCAAACAATTATATTTAAAACGTTACAACTTTCTTTTTGCTCTCTCTCTCTCCCTCGTAATTATTTCAGATGTAGAAATGATAAAATTATTTTTTGCAGTTTTTACTTTATACATATTACAAAATGAAATTCACCCGAAAGAGCAACTCGGCCGCGCTGCCAAATCATAATTTAAAAGCGCGCGGCGCAGGTGAGCGAGAGACGACGCAACTATCGTAATTTTATTCGCGCGGCAGAAAAGAGGTAAAAAAAAAATTTGTTTCAATTTCGCCGTGGCGTCGCTTGTAATGTAAAAAAGGCACGTGTAAGTTTTATGCGCCATTCGGGCGTTCGGCTTGCCTCTTTTTTTAAGCATTGACCGCGAGAGGAGGACTTCGAGCTGGAAAGAGAGAGAGAGAGTAATTTTTCCGTGGGAAGGCAAACTTTTACGCTCGCGCGCTGCCTTGAACTCGCAGAAAAAGCAACTCAATGTAATTTATTAGGTATATATAGGAGTGTAAAATTTTGTGCAGCTAGCGATAAAATGTATTAAACTTAACGGCTGCCTGCGCGTGGGGGGGGGGCAAAACAGTCAGCCGACTACGTCAATATATATACGGGCACATAAAAGAAAAAAAAGTTTTCGTATTAGCGTAAGTAGTGGTATTTGCTTGCGATGCATAACTCACCGATTTGAGGAACGTCGTAGCGTCTGCTGCCGCGGGTGGACCTGAGCACGAAGTGCGAGGCCGCCGGGATACTGGGCATCATCATCGCGGGTGGCGAGGCTAGGTCCTTGGACTTGCGCTTCGACTGCTGCTTCTGCTGCTCTTGTTTCTGCTGCTGTCTAGCCGAATTAGTCGAGGTGCGTTTAGCCGCTACCGCCTTATTGGAGCCTCGATAGTTCTGATTATTGTTGGGTTTGGTCGAGGCTGCCGATATCGGTCCGTTATTGTAGGCTCGAGGCAATCGTAACTGCTGCTGAAACGGCGGGGGTGGCGGTGGTGGTGGCTCGCTCTCGTCGAGCATCGCCATGTTCGGATTCGATCGGACTTGCTGCTGCTGCTGCTGCTGCTGCTGTTGCTTCTGCTGTCGATAGGCGTCGCGCAGAAGATCGAGAAACAGCAGATTCTCGGCTCCGTTGGGCGAGTATTGTTGCTGCTGCTCCCTTTGCTGCTGTTGGTCGATCGTCCGGTAGGCCTCGCGCAAGAAGAGTTCATCGTTGCTCGTGCTACCACTGCTGCTGCTGCTGCTTCCACTGCTACTGCTGCTGCTGCTGTGGACCAGGACCAGGCTCAGACCGACTGTGTAGCTCAGCAGCCAGAAGACGCGACTCGTCATGGTACAACGTGGCCTGTTGCAGTGCCCGCGGGTGGCACTCGGTGCTACGGCTGCTGGCTTGGCTGCTTCTCTGGCCGCCCTCGCGCGTAATCGCCTCCTACGGTTGACGCTCGTCGTTGTCGACGACGTCTCGTCGATATCTGTCACTACTACTGTATCCTCACACTCAAGCTATACTCGAGGATGACTGTTCCGTGTGGTTTTTGTTCTTTGCACTTGTTCGCACACGGTTCAATTTTAATTTATAGATTATAGAGACGATAGATAAAGAGATAGACAGAGAGAGAGCCCGAGCCCGGACGCAGCACGCTTGGACGGACGCAGGCAGATATTTATTATATAAGAGATTTTTGAGAGGGAAAACTCGCGCACACTTGAGAGGGATAAAGAGGCACGAGTTGATCGATGTAAAAGTCGTCTTCAAAGAAACACGCTCGATGCTGCTGCTCGATTATACTGTTTTTGTTTAGTAACTTTTTTTCTTGCACTAAGAATCGCTGTGACTATTTTTTTCTATCTTTCGTACGTATCCTCCGTTCGAGCGATTCACATGGCCCGAAGCTCGTCGCTAGCCGTAAGTCCGCGCGCGGCTCGAGACGTCGTTCGTCTCAACGAAAGGTAGTTGCTCATGTTGCTTCTCATCTTGCGTTTATGGACGTCCTTTCTTTTTACGGGATGCGATTATCGGAACTGGTGGTACTGTGTGTTTCCGCCACCAACTGCTCGTTGCTAGTCTGAAATCAGCCGATCGGTAAGCGTACGAGTCGATTCAAGTTGTACTGAGGTCATCTCTCTTTCAATCAAATGCGTACATTATCGTCAAAAAGTCGTGCTGTACAGTCTTGGTGCTTTTTTTTTTAGAAAAATGTGTCGATTATCAGTGCGTCGAGGTGCGTGCGTTATATATTTTGAAGTGCTCACTCGTGCAGATGAAAAAAAAGGAAGAAGCGATGTCGAGTAGGATCGACTCGACCTCGTTAGAGTGCAGATATTGAAAGCTGTGCTGTAGTAGCAGTTTTGGAAGAAGAAGAAAAAGATTTCGGTTTCTCGTCACTTCACTTTCTTTTTTTCTCGAGTATGATCGTTAGAGAAATAATTACACAATCGATCGAGATGCTGATAAACTCAAAAAAGAGGTATGCACTCGTGCTAGGTGAGCCGATGCTTGAAAATCACTCGAAACTTTAGTTAGCCAAATCAGCTGTGTAATCGGCTCTTGAATTGGGGTGCAAATAGGCCGCGCAGTGCAGACCCGGAACTCGACTCGGGTGCATTTCTTCTCTTCGTAACAAATTACGTCTACTTATACATTTGTGCGTGTGCAGAGGTGCAGCTTGTGCGTTTATTTATATTGTACCTGTTATCATTATATACATTCAAATAAGTGCACTGTGGTGTTGTTGTACAAAAATACATCGAGAATCACATGACGACATTTATAATATTTATATCCGTACGAACGGTGAAAGGAACAGAGTGCAATAATAATAAATTAAATATCATCGTCATTGTGGCATGAAAGAAACGTCACGTTGAATATTATGAAATAAAACTGTCGCAACATCGCGTTGATGCACACCGTGCTGCAAGCTTCCTGGTAGATATGCTTGATATTCATATAGTGGCTCATTGACGAAAAATTACCATTTACGTTAAAAAAATTAATCGCATTTTTAATGATTTGAAAATGGCAATTTAATTGTTTCAAAAAATTTACTAGATGGCGAGTATTTGTGTAGCAAAAAATTATAGAAACGATTTTTTAAATAGTATAAGGTCAATTAAGTCTGTATAAAAAGTTTCATCAAGATATGTCATTTTATTCTATTACAAATAAATCTTTGAAAAAACATTTTTTCTTTTTAATTTGGAGGAGGGAGGTCCGCTTGATATGATTTTTAGTTTATCAAAAAATCGCCGTAAAATATCGAGAATTTCTATTAAAGGCTTTGTCGTATGACTATATGTATTACATTAAATTGTAACATTTCATAATATTTATAAAATTCATTCCAAATTGTTAACGTTACGTTTCTTACACACTACTGATGTTTTTTTTTTTTTTTTGAGCGAACCAAATTTATCGTCTGTCGCTCGAAACTAATATACCACACACAATAAATCAGTACAAATTTCAATTCATTTTAATAGTTTCTTTTTTTCAACTCATTTAAATTCATTTGGTTGTAAAACGATCGGTTGTTTGGCGTCCCAGTTTTCATCTAGTGCAAAATTCGTGACGCACGCCTGGGACTATTTTCGCTTACTTTGCGTGCGATGCTTGAGCTTTTTCTTTTTTTTTCTTTTTGCAATTCCCAGTAGCTCGATACATAATAATGATACTCTGTCAAATTGCTTGTACTATTTTTCATTTCATTATCGCTATTTCATTTTGCATACTCGTCAGGTACTACGCAAACTTTCGTCATTGAATCATATTTTTCACAATCGCATTCGTACTCACACACTTTTCATTCACTTTCGCAATATCACGTCATGAATTTTGAAATTCGTGTGCAACGTTTGATTTATTCATCGAATTAATCACATAAAATTCACTCATTTATAATTAAAATTACAGTATAAAAAACATAATCACAAAAGTGTGCGTGTTTAAAATGTGCAAGTAAACGACAAATCTTGAGTGCGTTGATCAATGCAGACGTGCTAAATAGGACCGCTGTCAGTCATGTGCAATTTCTAATTAAAATAATCTTTAATTATAAACATAATACGCTGAAATTGAAAAGGCATCGTTAACAATGGCGTGCGCTCGACAGCTCGTTATAGCCTAAGTGCTCGTATTGTCGTAATTACACGGGTCGAATACGTATAACCCGTAATGTATAACGCGAACTCCGCACGTACGTGAAAATCGTGTCGCGCGTACAAAAAAATCGGGCACCTTCTCGTTTCGGCCTTTTTTTTTTCGTTACAAGGGAAGCGATACGTATGGACGCGTTCACCGGTGGTGCAGGTAGCTCGAGTTGCACCACACACATCACGAGCACAATGCACATTACATTACGTTATTACGTATACGCGCGAGCGAGAGGAGCTGTATTATGTGTGTACAGGTGTAGGCAGCAGCAGCAGGTAGGCCTGCGGGGGTGTAGCCTTGCGGCGGTGGCGACGACGTCGAAGCCCTCGTTGGCCTCTCCCGGGCCTCGCGCGAGGCGACCGAACCGCGCAGGTGTGCCCCCAACAACAACAGCGATGATGCGAGAGGCATGTGTGCAGATATATGTGTGTGTGTGTGTGCGGGGATAGGTGTGCAAAAACAGCGGTATATAGTACGTATGTGTGTACGTGCGGATCGATGATTCGATCGTTTCGGGCTCGAGGCAAGGAGCTGCTGCTGCTGCTGAAAGATAGTTATATAGCAGCAGTGGCATCACAGCGTGCGACGAACCCTGCCGGGGCAAGTCTCGTACATATCCACCCCCGCACTCGAAAGGGCCCGAGATTCCGCTCCTTGCTACCTTGTTACGAGTACGGTTCTATATATCATCGCTGTATGTGCAATCCGAGCCACGGGAAAGGAGGCGAGCGCGTTTCATATATAATATATGAGACGTGTGTACCGCGGAGTCGTCAGAGTAGAGAGAAAGAGAGAAATTCGATAAAGAGAGCAGTGCGCGCGGTGTAGTGGCGGTGGGTTCCTGCCGTCGCCGCTGCCTGCCAGGCTCGACTCGGCTCGCGCGTATATCAACAGGTGCCCCGAAAGGAGTGCGCGCACACGCCATGCCAGCCAAAAGCCACTCGTATATATAATATAAGCGCAGAAGCAGCAGCAGCAGCAGCAGCAACAGCAGCGGAGATCGGGTTTCTCCGCTCTTGGCTGCCTCGGGCTACTGCTGCATGACTCGGCGCGCACGCATGCATTATTACGTATAATACTTGTATCTACTAGGACGAAGTCGACGGCAACGACAACCTCGGGGAGCTATATAATATACAAGTGACGTGGTAGAGGTGGTGATGGTGGTGGTGGTACCGAAACTATGCTGCACTGCAGCGGCGACGGGGATGCTTTTCTGCTTCTTTTCTACTTACGTCACTCTCCGTCTGCGAGAGTCAAGTCGGCCTAGCGCAAAACAGCCATGAGCTGGCCCGGGCTCGGGCTCTATTATCGCTATCGAGGAGTGCCTGCATGAGGCGTTGGCTCCTCGGAGGCCGAGGAGCCAGCCCAGTTCTTACGTAATGGGCCAGTTGGATATTATGTAAATACATAGGCCTTGATTCACACAGATTTTTTTTTTTTCTTAATTTTCTTACGGTCACGCGCGGCGGGCACTTGAACGCTGACGACACTGCTCGGACCCGGCGCTATTTTATAATTCGAAATTTTAGCAGAGAGCTCGAAAATCACTTCCCGAATAGGCTGCGTACCGGCTCTTTTATTTTATTTATTAACTGTTATTCCGTCCTCTATCTTCCGTAGGTCTGTAGTAATTGGGCGAGGGCCACACCGCGAGCTGGGGGGCCCGCGCTTTTTATCCTCGTGTATTATTACAGGCCGTGCGATCGGTCGCTCCGGATTGGGGGTGTTCCGCGCGCGCTCCGTGCGACCACGTCCGGCACACTGGCGACTGGTTGAAGAGGCGCGAGGACGAGCGACGACGAGCGACGACGACGAGGGTTGCGGTAGCGGCGGCGGCGGCTACGGCTACGGCGGTGGTGGAGGGCTAGGTCCTCGGCGGCGGCGGCGGCGCTCCATACGCCAACGCACTCGTGACGGAGCGACGTCGTCGCCGCCAACAACCAGAGAGAGTGTGGGTGGCCGGGTGCGCGCGCGCACTCCAGTACACACAGCAACAGTGAGCGAGTGAGTGAAGAGCTCGCTGGCGGGGGTGGCCGAGGCATGTTACGCGCCGCTGCTGGTACTGGTGGGGTGGCTCCGCGTACACGCTGACGTCGGTACATGGCTCTCTCTCTCTCTCTCTCTCTCTCGGCCTCGGTAAAAGCTATGTGGCTCGTGTATCTCTCTCGTCGATCGCTAAAGAGTAAGAGAGGGACGAAAGACTCGTGTGCATGTGTGTGCGTGACGATGACTCGCGCGCGCTGTTGCTGCCTGCACTGCTGCTTCCTGCCTCGAGGAGTGTCTCCTATAAAGACAAAAGGATCCGGCCTCTCCTTCACCCCTTGCGCGCGCGCGCCTTTCGCCTTTCGCCTCTTCTGCGTAATTGCGCACACACACGTACACACACACACACACGCTTACACATAAAGCTCGCACAATGCGTGTATTAAGACTATTTATCCCTGTCTTTGGCCTTTCCGTCGTACAGCGGCAGCTCTCGCTTCCTTTTTAGCCTCCCTTTCCTCCCCTACATCCAGGCCTTTTTTTCGACTTAATACACCTTCTTCGCCCTTATACGCACGATATAATATGAAACACGCCCGCACACGCGTCTTACCTCGGGACGCCTTAATACACATATCCTCTCCCTATAGGACACGGTATAACATATACGAAGCTTGTTTTATACGCCTCACCCCCGGCGACGATCCGTCTCTGCTCCGTTTTGTACACTATACATTCGTGTACTTTTCTCCTTGAATTTTTCGCGCGACGCGACGAAAAACGTATGCACACGATATGATACGCCACTGCTGCGTGTACACGTGTACACAGCGTTGATGTGGAAAAATCGTGCATCTCGAAAGCTCTACGTATCCCGGAATTTGTTTCGAAACAAGAGTACTGTCGAGAATTGTGAAAAAGAAAAACGGGAAAAACTTTCATTCATGACGAAAAACTGCATCATCGACCAGCATTATAGACTCTCTCTCTCTCTCTCACTATAGTCTGTAAAGCTGTGTCCGTGTCCGTGTGTTTTTTTCCTATTATCGATTCGCCCGCGTCGCGGACGCATGACGTAACAGCTTGTGCACCGCTGCACAGTCGCGGCTCGCAGGCGCGTGCTCGTAGCTGAACTTGTATGTATATGTGTGTGTGTGTGTGCAAATTATACACACTCGCTCGCTCCGCATCATCTTTCATTCACGAAAGGAGTTTTCAATGAAAGTGTTGTATACGTATACGATGCGCGCGCGCGCGTACTTGCCTGCCTGACTGCCTGGCCTGCGACGGGGTACTGCACGCGCCGCGGAAAAACTAAAAATAAACTTTCTTACTTGTATATCGATGATTGGCAGGTATATGTGCAATGAAATGGAAAAAGCGCTCGCGTATGTACCTTCGTCTCTCGTGCTTCCTTTTTCGAAGTGAAACTTCGTTGCGCGCGTCGAGTGGAAGGATTGAATCTGTGAAAAATGAGCGGCTTGTTTATTTAACAAATGAGTAATATTTTTGAAGGGAAATGTGAGGATTAATTATTCCGGAATTCATTTGGTTTTCAAACAGGATTGATGATAATCGCAGGTGGCATATTTTAATTTTGAGCTTTTTGATTTGATCAACAGATGGAGACTTGTAATCTCGCAAGTAACAAAACCACTTCTCAATTAGTATATTTATAAGCAAATGTCGAGTGTATCACTACATATCATTACTAGTCTTCGAAATGTATTCTCATATTATCCCTGCTGCATCGAAGTTTTCTTTGACGACCGAATGTACTCATGTAATTCAAATTTTCTTTTCGATTTTTCCCCGATTGCTATCACGTTCATCGATAAATTTCAGATATTTTTTCTTCGTCGAAATTCGTATATGAGTTTCTCGAATGATCGCGGGCAAAGTTCACAAACGCTTGA